TATAAAATTCGAATTTTTGAAAATTTGTTTTTTATAAAATGAGTTTTCGAAATCTTTCGAATTTGTTTGTCTAAAAGTGTGTGGTTTAGGATACTTTATTTGGAAATTAAGTTGAAAATAAAGTAATTAATATTTTTAGTTTAATTTAATCTTCATTAAATTAATTATTTAAATATTGTTCTCTTATTAATGAATAATGAAAAGGAATTGTTATATTTTATTTCTAATCCTTAAAATTGAAAAATATAAAATTTAGGAATTTCAAACAAAATATGAAAATAATTAAAATTTAAATTTTTATATAAATATTTTTGTATGAGGAAACAATAATTTAAGAATAAAATAAAAAGATATTAAATTATAATTTCAATATTTTGTTTCTTGTGTTATTAATAGTATTTTAAATTGATTATATCAAGAACAATGCTCTTGGATTTTGGGCTTTTATTTGTAGAATATACAAATTTTTATTTACGAATTGCCTTTACTGAAAAATATTTTTTAAGAAAATAATGAAATGTTTATATTTATACGACAAATTTTAAACTCACTTTATTTCAATTCGAAAATAAACGTACATAATTTTCTTATAAATTTTTAAATTTCACTGAAATATTCAAGTGAGCCATTTATTTAGTAGTATTTAGAAATATTACTAGTATTTAGCACTCACCTGAGCCTCGATGCGCGCATTTGTTTCCGATATAAGCTGCTCGCGCACCAACATCAGCTGTGCCAATGCTTGACGCGTTTGGATGGCCTGCTGCTCCAATTGATCCTTTAGCTTGCTGATCTCATGACTGGGCGAAGGCGGTGTTGTGGGTGATTTGTCTTCTTCAGCGGTCTAAAAAGAAAGCGGTTGAGAGTGGTGTAGTTACTTACAAGGGTTTGGGTTGGTTAATATACATAAATGAATTTAATGGAGAGTGTTCCAGAAAGAAATAAACACTTAACGCGAGTTGAATATTCGTAGATATTTCCTGTTGTACAAACCAAAATTTACTATAAAACTGAAATGTAATATTAGAGAAAGCATTAATTTTTTCATTTTGCATAGTCATCAGTCAATTTATAGGTTTGTTAATTATGGTTGACAGGTTCGAAAATTTTTCACTTAACAACTTTCCTTTACTCTCTAAAACAACATAGAGTATATGTGTTGTGTTCACCTTTCCCTAAGCATGCTATAGCCTCCGTCGTATAATTTCTATTAAGCATGTGTTTAGGACTATTCAGCTTGCTGAGCCGATTGGGAACCCATGTCTAATTGAGGAATTTTTTTTAAAAGCTTCTTCCTCTATCAGGTTCTCAAATTACTATTCAACTGTATAAATATGTTACATAAACTGTATCTTATAACTAATATATTCTAGTTGTTGTTCGCCACTATCCTAGTTTTGATGAATCATAGGTGTCTACAAAGTATAGCTCTGTTTTTCTAAAATTGAAAAGTATATCTTGGTTGACTTAAATATATCTTCTATTAAATGATACAAAAATTTAGCCAAGAACATCATGAACACCATAAATGCAAAATGTTCCATTTACGTTAGGCTTTTTGGTGAGTTTTAACACTTTGAATCAAAGCTGTGGGTACGTAGAAAGGACTTAATGTTTAAGAATTTCACTTTCTTCGAAAAATTCAAAGAACTATCCACATATTCTTGTAAAAATGCTCAAATTCAATTAAAGGGAAATGGTGTTGACGTCAAACTACTCAATTTCAAACTGGTCAAAGATTAAGGGGTTACTTGGGTTCACGGGTTTCAAAAAAATCAATTATTTTTATTTTCTTACTAAATTCTATAACATCGTTTGAAGATTGTGTTAAATTTTCAGGTTGGGCTGAGTAATAGTTACGGAGATACAATTTTGAGAACTTGTGCGCTCGATGCTACTATGCCGTGTTTAAACACGGTTTTCTCGCAATTGTGTTTTTGAAGGCGGTTGGCAAGATTCCTCGACAACTACTCAATCTATCTTGGTACAATTTTACACAGGTCTTTAAAATACAATTATTAAAGATCCTGTAACGAGTTATCCTGCCGACGCGGGAGTATCGTTTTTCCGAAGGGACACAGGAAATGGCATCACATTGGCCGAGTTGAAAATTTTTTTTTCCAAAAATTTTAGAATTTCTTTGTAAATAGCGTATGTTTATAACAATAAAATATTCGACTACAATATTTAAATTTTTATATGAGAAAAAAACATTTTTTGTAAAGGGTTGTACGTTTTTTATCCGAGGAACCCACGCAACCAGTTAAACGAATTACCATTTTATAAAATTTCACTCTCACTGACCCATTTAAATAGAGCGTTCAGACTGAATTAAATTAAGTTTTGATTTCAAACATGACAAATGTTTATTTGACCACTTTTGTATTTCCAATGGAGTCACCGCTGCGTTATCGTTGAAAATGTTGCAGATATTCTTTCGGAGGTCCACTTCATTACAATTACAAGTATTTGAGTGGCACGAAGCTTTCAACGAGTGTTTAAAAGGCATCGTAATGGGACTGAGTCGTTTATGCTCCTTTCTCTATGATGATAACTTGGAAGGCACCAAAAAAAAAAAAAAAACAGTGTTTGAGAAGCATCATGTTGGTATCAGAGGGATAGCAGAGGATCCCAACATATGTATATTATGAATTGGTTGGTATATTGGTTAATTTTTTGGGTACTAAACGTGTCAATGCTAGACTCGTATTAAAAGAATAATCTTTTCCACAAAATACTTCGAGTAGTGGTTAAAACAGAGCTGCTTGACAATAATGTTCAAATTCCACATTCAAAAGCATCATTACTAGTGACACCAGAAGTTTGTTGCTGCTGCTGCTGAAAGGAAGCAAGAAGCCAAAAAGGAGTAGGCGGAGTCAGAAGAAGATAAATATAATATATGGATTCGTTTTCGTTGACTAAACGGCTTAACACTAAAGTATGGGAATTTAGCGAATGACGCTGCAGAAATGAAGAACAGACTCATACGAAATGTATGGAAAATTGGATTAAGTGTTAGCAAGCTTGTATTGACTCAAAGGAACCTATTTTGAAGGCGATAATAAAGATTGGCATTGAAATACCTGAAAATGTTGTTATGACACACCTACAACATACATGTATACAAATTTACAAATAAGCCATAAACACGACTTTCACAAATATTAAAATAAACATTCGGCGAAGAGTGTGCGATGCGCTAATAATTTTTAATGTGCGCACACGATTATCAAAGTGTGGTTACGCCCACCAAAATCATGAGAGTAAATCAGCGCCAAACGAGCCTTTCGCCTTTGTTGTTGCTATCACTTGAGCGTTTTTCGTATGTGTTTAATGACAGACAACCAAATTAATAATTAAAATCGATTTTAACACGAGTAAACAAATAAGTAATAAAAAAATAACAAAAACAACAACATATATACGATGTTATCGATTTGTGCAACAAAATTTGATGGGCTGAAAGGCAAATTTTTGATGAATAATTTATCGCTAGCGTGTTGCAACCAACAACCCGCCTCTGGCGCTGGCGAAGAACTCCGCCAGCATTTAGGAATTTTGTAGCAAATGCGCCGTTAGACTATCTGCATATATAATAATTCGCCGATTTCCACTTAGTTATGGAGGATATAAAAGCGCGTCAGCATTTCGGCCGAGAGGCGTTGAAATAAAAATTCCACACCAAATGGCGGCGGCGGCGGTCGCGTCGTTTGCGGCTAAATTCATCATAAAAATTTCATCGTTTGCATTTGTTTGCCGGTTTGCGAATCCATCATCATTTGCTGGACCGAAATACATACATACATATGTATGTGTGGGTGTATATATTTAGGGTTGCACTATGCATGAGTAGGCCAGCCGGTCGTTGTTGTGGCACTTTGTATCGCTGATTTTAGAATTTCGAGCTAATTTTGGCGCCGTCTGGTTGCAGATTGAGGCGAGGAAAGAACAATTCAAAATTCAGACTAAAAATAAGTTAACATATGCATGCTAAATACTTTGTGGCTTAAATGAAATGAAACAAACTTTTATTAGTTATGTGATAATTGACAGAATATATGCTTACCTAGATGGAGCTATACCTAAACATTAGGGTGGTTCAGTGCAGGGACATGTAAAATGTATGTCTAAAAATTTCTCCAAATGAAACCAAAGGTCAAATAATTTATTTTAATCAACACCACAATAGTCACACTTATGAGTTATAAATTTTATGGACATTTCAGTTTTCAGAGAAAATATGTTATATTTAGCCACCGTGCAACACCCCTCAGCAGTCTAAAAACCTATCAATACATATATTACACTAGTGTATTTATCAGTCTTATTGACTATTGAGTGCACAAGACTAATATAATTCGACCAATTCATGTTTCTAATGCCCAACCTAATGCATATATGAGGAATATTTGGCATATGATTTGAAAATATCGCATAAACACCAACTTATTTACGAGAGTCTGGAATTATTTGTGTACACCTATGTCTAACTAAACAAAACGTATTTATAAATTTTAGCATCAAAAATAATAATTATTCAAGTTTTTGAAACTTTTTATGCTTGTGGAATTGGTAAGACATTAATATTCTGAATCAGTAAATGTGTGAGAAAATTTTATCACCTTGTTATGGTTACGTTGTAACTGATTTAATAAGAAAAAATAAACATTAGAAACCATATATTTTTTATTTACTTATCGAAAAAAGAATTTTTATAACAACTATATAAATTTTAATTTTTTTATTTTTTAATCCTGCTTTAATATTATTAGGAATTTTGTGTTTGTGAAAAAATTTTTTCTGATATTTTTTATAAATGTCATATATAATTAATATAATTTTAAAAAATTATTATTTTAGAATTTTGAAATATTAAAAATTTTTCAACAGTCTTTAAACCTATCCTGAACAATTGTGTGATAGAATTGGGACTATGAGGTCTGATAACTCGGTAAAAATTTGAAAATAGCAGAAAATATAGATTTAAGTTTTCAATTGCATACTATTAATCAAAATCATCATCATTTAAAATGGGCGAAGCATTAATAAAAAAAAAATGTATATAAATCAAGGATCGTTAAAATAACAGTTTCTTACGAAGCTTAGCTGTTCCCAAATTGTGTCTGAAAAATGATTAAGTAGCTATATAAGGAACTCATATAATTTAAAAAAAAAAAAATGAAAAACATTAATAATTTTTGAGTATTGTCAGTAGGTTGAAAACTAAACTAATTTAAAAGAAAGTTATTTGACTGAACAATTTAAATTTTCGTCGAAAACAATGATAAGTACAAAATACGATTGTAAAGTACCGATCAAATATGAGCAACGAAGAATAGCAGAAGTTTTCATTCCAATTATAGAAAGTGAGTCATAAAATATCAAGAAATTACAAAATTTTCAAATAAAATTTTTGAGTGAAAAAATACAGATTTTTTATCGAAATTTCAGATATAAATTATCGATAACACAATTTATCGAATTAAAAATATAAATGTTTTTATCGAAATACATGATATAAATTATCGATTACTAAATTATAGCCAACAAAATTTATCGATAACATAATTTTGCGATTTCATAATAGTATTTAGAAGGTATTCGCTCGCAAGTATTAATTTTTTCCATTAAACCATGGAAATACAAGGTATGTTCCAAAGTAAGCAGGACTTTAAGAAAAAACAGAACAAATGTTTTTTCGGCAAAATAAATTTATTTTATTTTAAATAGTCTCTTTCTGCACGGTCTAAAAGCCTGTCGAACTAGTGTTTTAGTTCGTTGGCCGGTATGGCCAGTATCTGGGTGCAAGGCTTTCCATGGAAATTGAAATCTAATCCTGCATAACGCTTTCCTTTCATGGCCAAATGTATTTTTCCGAAAAGGAAGAAGTCGCACGGTGAATACGGGGAGTGGTTAATGGTTAAAATGTGATTTTTGGTCAAATAATCAGTTACAAGCTTCGATCGATGAGAAGGTGCATTATAATGCAACAAACGCAAACTTTCATATTCGTGATATACACTAGCCATTGTCGAAGCTGTCAAAAGGTGGAAGAAGAAATACGGATGCAAATTTTTGTATAGGAAAAGAATGGCAACTATCGATCAAAGGTGTCTTGATGACGTCTCGGAGGTTGCACAGATTAAACTTATGAGGCGGTTCAGAGAGGAGACAAATAGAATGAGGGGATTTTAGTCTCATTAGTATCACAATGGTCAACTTAAAGGTCAGACATCCACTCAACCTATCTACCTACCTACCTAGATGGACAAATGTTAAGAAGAACATTAAGAACGAGCAACGTAGAAAAATTGAAAAGGTTTGGATTCTCAAATTCTTCACACTTAAAGTCGCAGCGAAAAAGATAATACAATTGTTAATTATTCAAAGATTTCACTGTTTACTATCTTAAAAACTGTTTACTACTGGAGCAAAACTAACTTTTTGACCCACACCTTTAAAGTCAAAACAAGAGGTGTGTGATTTGGCTAAATTATTGGTTCAGATATGTTATAATAAGCGACCGCATCTATAGACTTGTGGCCTTAGAACTATTATTCAAAAACTTACCAACAAACTGGGTGACTTGCGCATATTCGAACTGGTGTGTGGCACCAATTCCAGATGATTCGGTCTTTGCGGTGGCTTTATGTCCGTCACTGCGGTCAACGGCTCTGAAATGATAAATATTATTCAATTTAAAAGCGATTTACTCATACATATGTATATAGGCAATGAAGGGCAAAGTCGTAAATTAAAGGTAAATATAAATATTTAAATTGCAACATGTGGTGCCACAGTACAATGTTATTTAAAAATAAGCTATATCTAGATATATTTTTTTGTTTTGATTTACTATATATGCATTCATATTCATATACACAATCGTAGCATGGGCAAACCTGCGCGCAAACCATTTGGAAATTTTCAATTTCGAAATAATTAGTTAATTATTGTAAGTATGGCAAGGTCTTAAGTTCCGCGCCATTAAAAGTTAATAGCCATTTTATAGGCGCCAAGAGAATAATCTAAAAAATATATGATTTACATATAAATAAGTTTACGATATTCAAAGCAGTAAAAACTATTTGGTCTTATTGATTTGAGTAAAATTCCGTTCGGGCACGTAGGCTTAAGTGTAAATATATAATGTGTGTTTTAGTAGGTGTGTTGGTTGTGTTAGTGGCGGCTGGCAGGAGGCTATTGAGCAAATATATCAATATATATTTATGTGCATATTTTTCGAAAATAATTATTTATATATAATTATATATACATTATATAAGGTGTGAAAATCGCTGCGATTAAACCAATTCTGTGGAAGCTCACCTTAAAGTCATTTAAATGATTGCTATACAAATTGCTTTTAATTTCTATTTTATTAACCTTTTAGCTCACATCAAGCGCATAATTTAATTCGCGTTTACCACGTACAAACTTACGTATATACACGCACGACTCTTATATGTTTGTAGATGTTCCATTCAATTCCTTCGTGTATACGAATTAATCTATTTCAAACGCTTATTTATTGGAGTGTGAAAATCGCGCGGCTAAATATGCCGACAGTTGATGTAAATTTTTGCACGCCGCACTTATGTATATAGAAACATATATCTATGTGTACTTGCAGTCAGGTGGGAAATATTTTTATTTTAATTTTAATGGAATGCGCATATTTTAATATCGAGAACATGCCAGAAATATTCGAAATTTCCAAAGTTATTGAAAGAGCTGTGCTCGACAACTCGACTGTACTACCGCGGCAATTCAAAGCTTAAGGAGTGAAATTAAAACTTCTTCTCTGTAAACAATTTCTTGAAATTTTAAATCGATATCTCAAATTAATTTCGTATTACAGCCTTCTCAAACGGAAATAGCTTAGTTGAATCAGTTTAACTTTAAACCTTGTTTTAGCCTCTGACGGCCTTTTTTATCGCCTCCAAGTTCAACAATGCTTAGCTTGATTTTTCAAAAATTTTACTGTGTATTCTAAAATTAGTTATTTAATGAGATGCGGCAGTTATGTTTTTATTTCCAAACATCACCTTTTCTCTACGCCTTTACATTACGTATGTTCCTTAATCGCGTTTTTATCAAAATGGTGATTTCAAAATCGGTAACCAACATTACCAACTAAAACCGGCTAGTTTCAAGTTTTCACGTAAGCTTCTTAAATATAATTTTTTAGTTATTTTAATCGAATATTTTTGTAATCCATAAATATGTTTTTTTTTTGAAACAATTAGGGCGGAAAATTTGTCAAAAATCGTTTTTTTTTTTTTTTTTGGTGAGAAACAACTATTTTGTCAATAAAATTTCATTTATTTATTCCTTCGATTTGTTTTATTAAATTTGGTTTGGTTGATTGGTTTTTAAATTTCAGAGAACCAGTTCAGAGATATAGTGGTCACCGCAAAACGTCTTTTTTTGACAGGAGCTGCCGGAGGTCAGCTTTCGTTCCTTTCCAAGTAAAGTTTTTTACTAATTGTATGTGCAAAAAAATTTTTGTATCAATAAATTTAAAAGTTATGTCAAAAAAAATCTTGAATATTTGCTTTTGTTTGGCTTTCTAACTGCATATAATCCCTTAATACAATAAGCTAGAAATCGGTGCGCTTTCTATTCAGCAGAGCGAAGCATGCATTCAAGGACAACATTTTTATAAGACCTCGATTTTATAGAGGTAGCAAATTTAATACAGCGCCATCCTTAGCTTCTGAAAACCTGTCACTTTGTGATGTATTCAGAAAACCCGGTTGTTGGATAGCATGAGTATGCGGATAAAATAAGTGTTCCCTATCGTATAGCGTGCTTGCTTCAATTATCACGGAGAGGTGTGAATTTAAACTGTTGTAACCAATTATGGTGTATAGTTCACGTTCCTGTTCTTCCATCTTTTATACAGCCAGCTAGATGGTCTCTTTGAGCCTGTTTTAAAGAACTCGCCGAATAAGAGAGCTTTAAATGGAAATTTTTTTTTTATCGGTCGATATTTCCTTTTTCTGGTTTCTATATTTTCAACGCATATTTTCATTAATATAATATTTTCATTGTTCAAAAGATAAGACAGTTAAAGTCACTGTCTGAAGTAGAAGCGAGCTTAGCATTGAGCATGCCTCTTAGAAATGGAACGAAATGCCGGAATATCAGCGAAAGCCTATTTAGTTTGTTTTATAAGAATGATAAACTGTTTTTAACACGATTTCTATAAAGTCTCAAAATCTGCTTCCATATTATTTACTATAATTTTTATAGTTTTAGTAGCTACTTCAGGGGTTATAGCAACTTATCAATTTCAAGAAAACGCTTGTTTGCATATACATATTATATTTGGAATGTACATACATATATATATGAGAACATTTCCCGAAAATTTGAGGTTAACTTTTGATTTCGCATATTCGGCACCCAAAATATTTTTGTCACGTAATTATCGAAGGCGAAAGATGCGTAAGAGTTTCGATAACAAATTTCGATTTTTTTAACCATTTTGAAAGATAAAGTTTGTTCACAGAGAACTTTTTTTTGCCACTTGGCATTGCTATTTTGACATGGCGCTTGTTCATCGATTATTCTTCTAAGAAAAAATTAATATTTTGGATTTGCGATTTGGGATAATTTGAAGAAGAAAAATCGTTTTCCTACTGGATGTCGGCTACGGCTTAAGAAACTTAAAAGCTTTTCAAAATTAATAATCGATTATTGCAGCAAATTAATCTCAGTAAATGTGTATTATACAGTTACTCGTATCCAAACACAAGCTTATGTGATTATATATGAAACTTGTAGTGATATTATATGAAGCTTATACAAAATTTTCCAACTAACTGTATTGCCTTGACAATGTAATCATCAGTGAATTGAAAACTAAATAAAACAATCAATTCAAAAATTTATTACTAATGGCTTGCCACTAAAAAAAAGTGGATGTAAAGTGATGTCTTAAATTAGATTTTTGCTCTTTCCTACTTGAAATTTGTTTATCCAAATGATTATTGAAAAACCAAAATTCAACAATCATTTTATAAATGTGAATAACTATGTAGATCATAAATTAGCATTTTGAAAATTCTCCGACATGTAAGAATACATCTCCTAGACGGATTTGCTAATAAACAATAGGTAAAATATAGCCGTATCCATCAATTTCAAACTATGAAGTAGATGATATTTTTATTGATGCAAATGTTTGGGTTAGCACCAAATGCCTTATTTAATCGAAAGTACAATTGCATGTAATGATATATAAAATCAGTCAATAATGACCAATTACTCCTAATAATCATTGGACGTTAATGTTGGCAGGCAATTGACTACAATGATTTACAGTTAGTTCAAAAATTAATAATTCTCATTTAAAATTTTATGCGTGAGATGTCATAAAAATTATTTATTAGAGATCGATTTTTGAAAAGAAATTTATTTCAGAGAAAACGGTTTCCAACCCAAATAAATATTTTTTCTTATTTACTAAACAAATTGGAGCTGTGTGAAGTTACTGTACATGGTGCCCGTTTTTGGAAAAAATTTTCAATCCGTCTTTAAGTTTATGATTGTAAGTTTTTTTTAAGGGATTCTAAGTGCTTATGAATTTCAGAAACTCGATTTCTGAACATAATGTACAGAGGGGTGATCCAAGTAGAGGTACTTCAATAGCGACAGATCACGCGTGAGTCCAGTACGCAGTGAGAAAATATAATAGTCGTAGTTGAGAGTGTACACAAAAAACGGTACAGAGTCGATTCGGCGCCGTTCGCAGTAAGTCGGACTGACATATGGAACGACGCTGAGATCTTAAATTGTAACTCCCCACGCATCGCAACAATCAATAAATTTATTGAAAAAACACTTGGGTGGTTTTGGGCCGGTCGATTGGCTACCAAGATCGTGGATATCATACCGTTAGACTTTTCTATGTAGGGATATGTAAAGTCTAAAGTCTCTGCGATTCAGGTCTTGAACAATACAACAGTCTTTAATATTGATAAAAAGCGCGATGGGTCTCTGCTCTAGTTTGTTTGAATCGTTGAATATTTATCAAATAATAATCATAGAAAAATATTATTTTAATTGGATTTGAAGACACTCGACTATACAAATATTATAAGATCGAATATAATGAATAAAATAATATGTTTCATTATTTCAAGTCACAACCAAAATTGTAGTAGTAGCTACGTGCTTGTGTCTTCGAACTAACACAAAATATAAAAAATATTATGTTCATTTCATATTTTTATGTTTGTGAAAATATGAATATAGAAATTGCGAAAACGCACGTAAAGGTCGGTCATTCCTCTATGACATCATCCGGCCGGTGTGATGTGTTCAACGACAACGACAACGCCTAACGGCAAACGCAATAACTATGAACTTTGTCGAAAGCAAGAAAGAACTATGTGAGTCCTTGCTAAGGTCATGCGTGCTGTCTTCAAAACGTCAATAAAAATAATTAATTTTTAATCACTTGCGGCTTAAAGAGAAGAAGTGGTGCGAAGAGTGGCAATAATAGAAAATTAGATTTGCAAAACATTGCCTGTTGACAACAGCTGTGATTGCTCCAATTTCTCTCCGCTGCTTCTTCTTCATCTTCGCCTCTGTTCGGAATTTGCTAACAAGCTCGTAAAATATCGTTTCATTAGCTGCTGGCGACAATCAGCACGTCAACGCCAGTGGAATATATAGAAATTGTCGAAATTTTGTATGACCACAAATGAAATGAAGCTGGCGTGTCAATTATTTGCCAAAAAAGATGAACTCATTTTACATTAGTTATGACGTGGCAGCGCAATTGTGGTCGGTGTGTGTATGTATTTTTGATTGGGGTCTTGTGATATTTTGGAAATTTTTCGGCTTTGAAAAGTTTTTTTCTAAAAAAATGTTATATGTATGTGTGTATTTATAATTTTATCAAAAATATTAAAAAAAATATTTTCAATTGCATTTTGTTTAAA